TATGCAGACGTAGAGAATGGACTTGAGGACACGGGGAGGGGGAAGGGTAAGCTGGGATGAAGTGAGAGAGTGGCATGGACATATATACACTACCAAATGTAAAATAGATAGCTGTTGTGAAGCAGTCGCATAGCACAGGGAGATCAGCTTTGTGCTCTGTGACCACCTACAGGGGTGGGTTAGGCAGGGTGGAAGGGAGTTGCAAGAGGGAGGATATATGGGGATATATGTATATGTATAGCTGATTCACTTGGTTATAAAGCGGAAAGTAGGACACCATTGTAAAGCAATTATACTCCAATAAAGGTGTTAAACAAAACAGAATGGATAGCTTTGTGAAGAAGTATACACTTTAGTGCAACTGCTGAATTAAGAAGTGGATACTCAGCTATCAGCGGTTCATTGAAGGGTTTTCTGCATTGCTGAAAAGAAATGTATTAAATGGCTTGTAAGATCTGTCCTAATATTACGATTCTGTTACTTAACATTCACTATTAAGATTTTCATTGTCACAAACACATGTGCATAAGAGTGTGCACTCGCTCTTACTCTCTCTGCCCTTCCCCCAATTTCTCTGTTTCTCATCTAAACACACACACACTCATGCACACAGGCTATCGCAATTTATAAACCTTCATATGACCACTATGCTTAGTAGATGACTGAGAATTAGCAACATTTGATAGATCTTTAGGAAAACACATCATCTCATGACCCAAGGCATAAGTCTTGATTACGTGCTCAAAATAAGACATATTTGTGATAATCCACAGTGTGATTTTGAACTGCAGTTTTAGCGTTTGATACTTTAAATTTTCAAGAAATAACCTTGACATTTTTTGAGTTAATGTCAAAATTGGCCTTCACATCTTGTCATTAAATAATTGCTCACTTCTCTGAACCTCAGTGTCCTCATCTTTAAAGTAGAGACAGTCTCCTTCCCATAGACTTGTGAGAATGAAATAAGATAACATACATGGTATAAAGTAAACGTTTAATAAAAATTGATTAACTCTTAATTAGGAGCAAAATAATTAACTAGAACAATTCACTGTTTCTTCAGATATCTCCACGTAAGCATAAGAAAACAAAGCTTTTCTGAGTGTGAATAGATCTCTTTCGCTAACTAAATCCACTTTGTACTTTTATTTTCAATTTTTGTTACACAGTTTTTGGTAAACTGAGATTCATAAAATGTAGTAATCAAAAATGTTTGTTTTAAAACCATTTTCAAGAATGTGGTAATCTGTTCAACAATCATTTATGCTGAAGGTCAAAGCTAAGATTTTTGAAAGTTTAAGAAAGGATGTATATCAGAAATACAGTTCTGCTGAAGGCTATACTGAACACATAATTCTTACTCAGGAAACATTGCTTGAGTCTTCAGGTCTTTCAGTTAGCCTCTGATCTGACAAACTCCAGAAGATATTATTTCCCTGACTATTTCTCTCCTTCTCTGACTTTTTAGAATCAGAAGTAAAGATCAATTAGTTGCCCTTTTGTGTCCTAAAATCAGTTTTTCTCATGTGGAGGAATAAACATATTTTCTGCTTTTTATCAGTTGGCGCTACAGTGTTGTCACAATATGCCAAATTCAGATGCTATGTAAACTTGAATTATTAAGACAAATTCATTAAATATATTCAAAACAAATGCTTTAGGTTTCATGCATTAAAACCTTAAAATGAAATTCTGTATAGTGTTGTTCTTCTCTGAAAATATAAAATGCAGCATTTGGGTTTTATTTACCTATTAATTGTTTCCCACATCCTCTGCTTTCAAACTCATTAAGTGTTTAAAATGCATGCTTAGTGTATATTGATACAGCTTTTTCCAAAAGCAATATGGTAATAATAGTATGACACAAAATCCAAATTATATAAAGCAATTTTCTCTATAAAATAATTTAACAAAATCAAAATTTATGCACAAAAATTTGTGCATAAAATGTCAGAACTCTAACAGGACAATATTGGAAACTTCAACATCCAACATTAGAGGAGTGACTTGACAAAGTATCAGCATAATTGAATATTTTAGCTATTGAAGTAAAAATTATAGAAACTATATTAAAGTATGGAATAGGGATAAGAATATATGGTTTAAAATAGAATTATCTAGAATTAAGTATATTTAACAACTATGTAAAACGTGGATGTTTACATATGAAAGGAATGTGCAAAAGTGAAGAAATTTTAGGATTTACATAGATCTTAGACCCTGAAGTCCATATGTAAGTGAAGAATCTATGTAGTTAGGGAATAGATTCTTTATTTCTCTTTTATAAGAGTATAGAAGAGGATTCATATAATTTAGGTGATGTGTCTGTACAATTAATTAACCATTGGAGAAATGGAAATAGAAAAGATAGTACCTAGATTTTAACCAGTAGTCATTCTAAAATGCTACTGGCCTAACTGAATTTCTTATAAGTTTGCAAGGATTATATCATTTGACCTTGAGTGCTAAATAATTATGAGGCAAAAAGTAATACACTGATAATATTGCTTTGTGATATTGTACATTAAACTGAAAAATAAACTATAAGTTTGTATACATGAAAAGGACATTTTCAAAAGTTGTAAGAAACTGATATACTTTAATCAACTTCTAATTTGTTTTATTCACTTTAAAGTTATAATTTTTCCATAAAGCACCATTTAATACACTATTATACTATAATTCAAGAACATTAATGCATTTTTCAACAGGGATAAATTTATTAATGGTAATTTATTAGCAGTGAATATGACTCAATTTAAATAGTGAATTATCAGAACACTTTCTTATTTACCATATTACCCATTTCTATTTTAGCTTATGGCACAAACTTCTATTTCTTATAAATTTCTATAATTATCGCTCATTTTAAGAATATATCTTAATCCAGCAATACTGCTGTCACTGAACAGCTGGAAAGAGTTTTAAATATACTTTCTAAAGTGCTTAATTCCTTAGGAGAGCCAAACTTGTCATTCTCACAAATTTAAGAAAGTACTGAATAGTTTATCCTTAAGATACAAAGTCAACATTGGGAAGTAAATTACCACATTTAATACTTGAGTCTTACTTATAAATTTAAAGAATTTTCATCTTGATCATAGAGAATCAATTTTTTCAAATCCTATTTTCAACTGCAATTGGTACATTTGAATGGATTTCTGAAAATGAACTGGAAAGATATCATGAGTTCATAATGAAACTTCTAATTTGAGTTTACTAGTATAGGGTTTTTACTTACCTTCATTGGTCTGGCATCTGTATCTCCTTTTTTCCCATAGTAAAAAAATCCTAGTTCTCAATAACACCAACAAAATTACTCATTTGATCTATCCCTCAATACACACACACACACACACACACACACACACACATATTCAGAATTACAATACAAGTAGTACCACTAACAATATCATTACTAAAAGCAGTTTAATAATTTTTGCAGGATTTTTTAGTACTTAAAATATGTTCTATTGGTATGTATGTTAAGTTACTGTGTTTTAATGTCATTTTAAGTAGTTCCTCTTGAAGGCTATCCTTTCAACTCAATACACAGGTTTCTCTCTACTGATTTTTTGAGATTCCTCTTTTAAATGTTAGTTTGTTTTTTAATTATTTAAAATATATACAGGGTTCCAAAGTAAATCTTCAGGGGAAGATATATGCAGAGATGTTTTGCTTCTCACCCTGTAGTGTCCATCCTATTGCCTCCCACCCTCTAAGGGTAACCATTATTATTCGTTTTTATTCTAGATTTATCCTTACATTGTTTTTTATACATTTTTCTCCATCTCACTTTCTTCACTTAAAAATATATCCTGAAATAACTCCATTCTAGTATTTATATATGGTCACAATTCCTTTTTACAATTTCATAATTCTCTGGTGGATGTAGTGTAGTTTTTTCAATCAGTCCCTTATTGATGGGCATTTAAATTGTTTCCAGTCTTTACAAATAAATCTCAGTGAGTAGTCTTATAAATATGTCACTTTGTATTTCTGCAGTGTTTCTTTCAGATAGAGTCCCAAAAGCCAAAGCATAAATGAATATATAATTTGCCTTAAATTGTTAAATTTCCCTTTATAAGGATTGTGCCATTTTGCCTTTACACCAACAATGTATTAAAGTGCTTTTCCCCATAGCCTAGCCCAGAGCCTGTGTCAAATTTTTGGATTTTTTGCCAATCTAATAGATGAGAAATGGTATCTCAGTATATTTAATTTGTATTTTTTAAGATTGAGTTTTAACTTCTATGTAAAAAACTCCTTTTATAAGTAATTAGGATATTTAAAAATGAGAAGTATTTTGTTAGATAAAAGAACCTGCATTATATACATTCTAGGTAAATTTTGAAGTTTAACACAAGATTATTTTAGGTTAGGATTGGATTGTTAAAACAATGTTATATAGAAAAAGAAGATAGACATGATTGTGAAAATGAACTTCAGAAATTAAATATTTCAGTTTTATTCAAATGTCATAGAAACCATGCAAAAGAAATAATCCTCACATTGATAAGCAAAAATTTACTGTAGTTAAGAAGTTTGTGATATAAGCTTCTATAAAGTACTAAGACTTTATAAAGTACCAAGTCTTGAAGGAAAGTCTATAAATGATCTTGTAATTGCAGAGGATTTTCTATAGCAGACTTAGATTTGATTAAATATAGAAGTCAAGTCTATTGTACTTCAAGTTGTAGCCCCAAACCAAAGCCAGTTTAAGAAAAATTGTTTTCCTCTAACAAAACCAGAGATGATGAGTTCTGGTCCTTATTCGTGGACTATCTGAGTCTTTCCTATGTTCCTTAATAATGTTTCTAAATATATTTTAATATTTTATTTGGATTGAATAAAGGAGATCCTATCATATTACTCTGACATCAATAACTAATGTCCTCTTCAACAAGAATTATGTTTTCCTTAGAAGACAAAATATTAAAGAAAGGATTATGGAGAATGATTCCTGCCAATTAATTCTCAGTTATTTTCTTTCCTTTCAGCACCTTCCCTGATAGGTATGGTAAGGAAGGACTGGGCATCCCAAAATAGCATTGCCATATCATGGCAAGCACCTGCTTTTTCCAGTGGACCCATACTGGACTACGAGATCAAGTACTATGAGAAAGTAGGTCTTATTTGGAGCTTCCTAAAAATCTACGTATACATATATATGCATATATGTATATACTAAACATGTTGTTATACAATATTATTTTACTTTAAAAGCTATTCTTTTTCGGCCTAACTTCATACCTACTATGTCTTTGAATACTCTCCAATATACTATTGTGCTTATACTTTCTTAATTAATTTGTCTTGTTTTATGTCAGATTAAAGTAGAAGACACAAGATGTTCATCTCTACCTTCACTTACTCTAGGGAGTTTTACAATAGAGTAAGAAGTTGTAACTCCTTCAACTTACAGTTTAATTGACATAACATTTTTTCTAAAACTCACTTGGGAAGAAATAGTAAAATGGAATTACCATAATCTAAAGCAATTTCGTGTAGGCCATATCCTTTTCCAATGAGTTTAAAGTTACAGTCTGCTAAAATTTGGAAAGTATGATTTAAGGTTTAAATGGAAATAGCTGATGAATTAAAAATTTTCTTTACATTCAGGTCAGCTGATTTATTTTATGTTAGCAAGATAAATATGGTTAATAAATCAACTTTTAACCTTAATTTCCATTTCTGTCATTTAAAATTGTTCTTACTATATTTTCCCAAATTATATACTTACTTAGTTTTATGGTATTCACATACATTCTTTCTTTATGCTTTTCCCTCCATCCCTCACTATTATGATATTGTCCTATAGATATTATGGCAGAACATATAGTCAATTCTGATAATATTTCCCATTGGGCTGATACTACCCTGGAATATTGATAAAGTGAGCATTACATTTAAAAAATTATAATGTAAAAATTATATATAATTCCCAGTGGTATATTAAAATAAGAAAGAATTTGTGTTTCTGTAACTCACTAGAAACAAAGGAACATAACAAATAAATTTAGGTTTCCTATGGAGAAACATAGGGCAAGAAGAGAAATAGAAGTCTTTATTTTTCTATTCTGCTGCTTCTGAGCAAATGTAATTTTGAAAAGGGGAGAAGTAACTCAGTAGCATGGCTGTATCTAGTAATTTCAGAATTATGTAGTCAATGAAAACTATCATTATTATTAACTGGCATGGATAAATCCATAGTCTAAGAAAGGAGGAATTGACTCAGTTTAATTGGCTTATAGATTCTGCACATTGGTCTAGCCAGCATGTGCTCAGAAATCCTGTTGGGCTATTCTTTCAAATGTTACAACCCGTAACATCCTGTCACAAAAATATACGTATTTTCCATCCACTCTTTTAAATATATCTTCATGTACTCAAAAATTCAGAGTATTTAAAAAGCAATGCACACATATTTTTAAGCAACTTTTCAGAATAAAAATATTTCTCTGTGTTTTATAAAGGTTATATTTCATACGCAGAAAATCCTTATTCTATTATCATTTTTACTTCATATGTTTGAAGATGAAAATAACTTGCAATATTTCCAATTAAAGAAAAACTACACCGATTCCATAAAAAGAGAACCACATTCATCCAGTCAAAACTTTATAAGTTAATAATATTCTGAAAGATGGTTATTGACATAATATCCATGTTTGAATGATAGAATAAATAATGTTACGAAGGAGTTTATTTTATAAGAAAATGGAAGTGATCCAGTGCTAATGGATTAAACATGGAGTTGGAAGCAAAGGATTCCTAATTCATGTACTGACTCTGACTCTCATTATGCTTATGGTCAGGAAAAAGTCTATTAATCTCCCTATGTCTCAGACTTCACATTTATAAAATGGAAATAAAGATATCAACTCTTCTAGTGGATTGTAAAGACTAATTATGAACAGACCTGAAGATGAAGAGTGTATGAAGTCAATATTAAATATAATTTAAGAAAGCATTAGGGAAATATTTGGCATATTATATAGTACAATATAGAATCAGAGCACAATAGCATGGGTATTATGTACAAACTAAATAAAATATATGATATCTTCATACATAAATACATAATGTGTAGGCAATCAATTAAGATGTTAGAATATCAGACCTCTGAGAGAAAGCATAAAATGACTGACAGCATTAAAACTTTTCCCAACTATGACTTCAGATTCTTACTGTACCTTTTATATATCTATATCTATAACACGGTTTCTCCTCCCAAGAATTATTTTTATAAAGCTTATAAGTAGGGCAACCTACAACAGAACTCTTAGTTAAAAGTGCTTATTTCTTTATTAGGGATCTAAATATAATTCAGTAGGAAAAGCAAAATACAAAGCAGTACATGCACAAATGATCCTATTTTGGGAACACAAATATTCCTCCATATATGTATATTTTTGTGTGGTTATATTAACATACAGAATATGGAATGGAAATACGCTGTTTTAGGTGTTACCTATTGGGTTAGAATGGGATAAGGGGTGGAAGTACATAGATGGAAGTAAGAGAGAGAGCGAGGTAGCAAATATAGATAAATATGGATGGATGGATGGGTGGATGGATAGATCCTAAATAGCTTTGGTAGCTGTCCTAGATCAAGTTGCCCAAAGGCAGACCCTGAGATGGGAATTTGTGTGTAAGTGGTTAATGAAGAACGCTCCCAGGAGAACTGGTAAGACAATGGGGAGGCAGGACTATGAAGGAAGATGCAAATCAAACTCAGAGTGAGCAGGGGAGCTCTGGAGTCTAAATTGTGTCTCAGAGTTCATCGTATGGAGACAAAGAAGCTGAGCTTCCATACTCAGGCTCCAGTCAGTCATTGACCACAGGCCTGAATGGACATATACATGTGGTATTCAGGAAAAAGTCATAGGCACATCTGGTTCTCCGTTGTGGCTCCAGTTGCCCAAGTTTAGGTGTCTAAAGTAGATGGCAGGTACAAGCCTTTAAATGCAAAACACATAGAAGCTAGTGGGTGGGAGCAGGAACAGTTAAAGGTGAGCCAAGTAGATCTCATGGCTCACCAACTAATAACTAAAGCACCTCAATGCTCAGAGAACTAGGAGAGAATTTTACTCCTTGGCTCATTATGATATCCATAGTCTCCTCAGTCTTTAATATTGGTGCCTCAGTCTTTAATTTATGGCATTTAAACTTTACATTTCCTTTCAATCAAAGATATAGTATATTGCTAAACTTAATTAATACACAAATGATCAATATTCCTCCATTCTCTGAGGAATTCATGCTGTTTTATTAAGTTATTGTGTTAGGATCATTATTCTGTAAATCAGGAGAGTAGTTAAGCTGCTTAGAATGTGAAGTGTCTACAAATATCTGAGGTCAAACACATATTGTTGTTACCAGTGACCTTTGCTTAGAAAAAGGCATTGGCGTAAATGTTCAAAAATTTGAGTTTGGCTCAGACCTTAACTTTCTTAGGCGTGTTTTCTCATCTGTAAAATAAAGATCCAGAAAGATAATCTCTTCCATTTTTAGCTGTTTCCAAATGCTGCTATGTTTGTGTTTGTACAGTTATATAGATATGTTATACTGTCTTTCAAAGAATTTATGTATGCTAAAATTAAATACATACACACATTTTAAAAAATACATCACCACAGGGAATAATCTTCACATCATAGTTATATATAAAAATTAAAACCCTACTATGATTGTCTTTTGTTTCTATGTGTGTGTGTGTGTGATGAGAGGGCTATGAAGAAGAAAATATATTGCTTGTGGGTTATAATTAATTAGATACTCTCTATTCAGTTAATTATACTCCCCCAATTCTTGGTTACTTTTCTCTTTTCATACTTAAAAAGTGTTTTATTTTTTTAAACTCACATGAATATAGTTTGAATATGAAAAGTCACTTAAAATAATGAAGAAAGTCACGCATGTTACCAAAAAAGTTTATATTTTGTATTTACTTACTAACAATGCTTTTCTTCAGAGCAGAGCCTCCTCTTAATGAGGGAACTGTTAAAAACCATGAAGACAATTTAGGTGATACACACTTTATATAACACTTCATGAAGTGGATGGTCTCCTTTCAAGGAAGTGCCAAATGGGCCGGAAGGCAGGGAGCTTTTATAGCACAAGGAATAAAGAACAAGGGAGAGAAAAAGAGAAAATATCTGATTGGCTGGAGCCACACAGTCAACCTTGTTTAGGGTGAGAATGAACAAGGAAAGAAGTATAGAGCCCAGAGCTGGCTTGGCATTTGGGGACTGGGTAACTGGATATACTGTGTGTTTTTTTTTTAATTGAAGTATATTTGATTTACAGTGTTGTGTTAATTCTGCTGTACAGCAAAGTGACTCAGTTATACATATATATACAATTTTTTTGTGTTGTTTTCTGTATGGTTTATCCCAGGACATTTAATATAGTTCCCTGTGCTTTACAGTAGGACCTTGTTGTCCATCCGTTCTATGTGTAGTAGTTTGCATCTACTAACCCCAAACTCCCAGTCCATCCCTCCCCCACCAGCCCCCCTTGGCAACCACAAATCTGTTCTCTATGTCTGTAAGTCTGTTTCTGCTTCATAGATAGCAGAAATATGACATTTGTGTCATATTTTAGATTCCATATGTAAGTGACATCATATGGTATTTGTCTTTCTCTTTCTGACTTACTTCACTTAGTATGATAATCTCTAGTTGCATCCATGTTGCTACAAATGGCATTATTTCGTTCTTTTTATGGCTAAGTAATATTCCATTGTATATATGTACCACATCTTCTTTATCCATTCATCTGTCAATGGACATTTAGGTTGTTTCCATGTTTTGGCTATTGTGAATAGTGCTGCTATGAACATAGGGGTGCATGTATCTTTTTGAATTATAGTTTTCTCTGGATATATGCCCAGGAGTGGGATGGCTGGATCACATGGTAATTCTATTTTTAGTTTTCTGAGGAGCCTCCATACTGATTTCCATAATGGCTGCACCAACTTCCATTCCCACCAACAGTGTAGGAGGGTTCTGTTTTTCCATACCCTCTCCAGCATTTGTTATTTGTAGACTTTTTAATGATGGCCATTCTGACTGGTGTGAGGTGGTGCCTCATTGTAGTTTTAATATGCATTTCTCTAAT